GTTATTTGTAGCATGGGGGGCTTTTAAAAAAATATCATACTTTGGCATTTGTTCCTGTGTAATTAGCAGTTAGTGTGTTTTTTAATGTTATGGTAACTTAAAATAGAACTAATGAAACAGACCCTGGATGATTTCTGATCCACTTGACAGCACAAATTGATTAAATGTCAAATCGACATTTTTCCACGGCTCTGCTCTCTGTGTCATTATGATGTGAAGGTAGGTCATTCACTCAAAGTAACAATATTGAAGTCAGATGAGTAATTAGAAAGTTGGACACAAACTTTTATTTGCTGCAGCTCCAATCAGAGACAGATTAGTAATTAGAGAGAGACACTTTAAAGCCACCTCAGTGAGCACAGTGATGAGACAACCGAGCAGAAAATTGCCAGTCGTGGGAGCAAGATGCAATAATCTGCTGGTTGACAAGTGCTTTATTAGTTGGTTTGTAGTCCAACAGTCATTCTGGAGGGCTGGTGGATTTCAACACTTGCACTCGCAAGACGGGGCCTCGAAAATCATAATCAGTTTACATGTGTGATAATTTGTGGTTTGGTTAGGGGGTAAATGTAGTGGTGAGATTTGTTAGGTTGAGAGAAAATATAAATTACACCAACAGTACAATTGATTTGTTCTCTACTATATTAGGCCTCTAGTTCTTTCATTTAAATGTACTACAAGGAGGCTTTAAATATTAAATCTGCGCTAATCAGTATTTTTTATATGAACAATGATTCAAATTATGTGACCTGAAGTATAATCTTAAAACGGTCACTCAAATACCCAATCCCAAATCCTCCCCTTGGCTCTACCACTTAGAACTATCTTCTCCATTTAAGGTGAGTGTCCCATTTTTTGGGGGGATCAAGGGGTAGTTGTCATCGAGCTGTTCAAATAGCCCTCCAAACAAAGCATTTTCAGATGCAGGTGCCAAACAGAGTAGTAGAAGAAAATTCCCAGAAAATTGAGGCAGGGGAACACAAAACATGCAGGGAAAGAAACCCATAAGAACTTCCCATAAAGTCATTGTACACCACCGGCACCACAGAGACAGACAAAGTAAGTGACCAGCTGGTGAAGAGAGTGCAAGATCTAGCATCTACAAGAGGGAAGTTGAGAGTAATATTCATCAGGATCCAAAGGATAATAGCCAAGGGACTCAAGTATATCTAGCCTAGATGTCTTGCGGCCAATACGGGCCAATGTGTGACATTTTGCAGAACCTTTGTCTGCCCCTTCTGAAAGTTTTTACACAAACAATGTCAATGCGTGCTGGGGTTCCAGTAAAAGTGCAAGTCTGACAAAGATAATGTTTTTAGTTATGTCAACCCTACAAAAGAGTGGACAGAAAGAGACAGTATAAAGCAACAGTAGCAACAACAATGACAACGATTGCCTTGTATTCGGACAAAACTATTGATGAAATGAAAACACAGGCAGAGTGCAGAGGTAGGCCAGCCAATCAGTTCCTTGGGGCACTAAACTTCAAAATATCTGTTTTATTAAGCACACAGTCAGTATTCTGCTCTGTATTTCACCACTTGTGTTTTACATTTTTTTTCTTATATATTTTACTGTTTGTTAAAGTTGTTTAAAGCTGTTGTTGTTTGGCTTTTGCTACTGTATAGCACTTAAGTCGACTTCTTTTAGATGTGTTCTATAAAGTAACACCCCAGTCTCCCACACAAACATACAGGACAGACAATGAAAAGCAGGACAGATACGACTGAAACTAATTGAACAGCAAAGTGCTTGCAGGTTCTAATAAGTAGCTGATAACACTGTGAGGTGTTTCTGTCATTGGTCTCTAAAATAAACTGAAGTTGTCTGCAGGTGTCAGTCTCACCTGTTTACTTGCTTTCCTTTCCTCTTCCCACACTGGCTGGTTGGACTGCTGATGCTGTTCCTGGCTCCCTTCTCATCTACAATGTGAGTATTCCTCTGGAACTATTTTACATCTCCGCAATGATGGTTTGATGTACAGAAAAACAACAGGGAAACCTGGAGTTGTAGATGAGCTTCATCCACGGGACCAGAGAGGAGATCGGAGGTACATCCAGGATCCTTGCAGACTGAAAATGTCTTCCATCAGGCCCTGGATAAAGTTTATATAGCAAAGCCCACATCTGCCTCTCTCTCTCCACTTTCCCTTTTGCACAGCCACACTTGACTAGGCCTAAACGTCTCAGCATTGTGTGTGTGTGTGTGTGTTCACTGATTTATCACAGCTGATTTGGAGTTAGTCTAGTTGAAAATATCTGGCACTGTTAGATTTGCTCTCTGTTTTTAACATGTTCATCCTGATTACACGTCATGTACCACTGTTTCCTTCTGTGTGCTTATCATATTTTTATTATGATATACGGATGTACTTGAATAACTTATTAGTTGCAAATGTGACTTTTGTTCGTATATCTTTTAGGTTTCAATGCATAGAAATGTCACTGATAACATAAACTGCTGGCCCCGTGGCCGTTTCTTGCCTGTGACATGATGTTAGAAATATAATCTGGCCCACAAGATTATTACTTTTTTATTATTTTTTCTCAGTTTTTGATTACCCCTTCATATACAATTAAAATAAAAACATTGTTCTATTTTTAAAGATTTCCTTTAGTGCAAAATAATAGAGAGGTAAAAGGTGCCTGCAAAGGGTGGTTGTTTGTTGGCTGTGAACAACCAAAGCTGATATAAAATGATGACATAAAAATGTATAAAAACTGCTGTTTTCATTATTGTTAAGTATTTTAGTATTAATAATAATAATATTGCACAATCTTGTCCTACTTGACCTTTGCAGCAGCACTACTGTAATACCAACAGTGGCCCCAAGACAATTTGAGTTTGAAATGTATGCCTCAGACCAGTGTTTGTCTTTTTTTCATGAATGTACCCCTTTATTTACATTTTACAACTTATGGTATACTGATACCTGCTGTACTACAGTATCCAGTATCCCTATAGTTACACGTACCCCCATTTGAGAAACGCTGAATGATGAATGATGAATTAAACATGAAGTGTAAAACAATGTGAACATGCGTATGCACATATATACAGTATATGTGCATAAATAATTCAGTAGTCCAGTGGTGCAACCCCGGAATTCTTATCAACGTAGTCCCACTGATATAAAAACAGACAGGCAATAGTGTTCATGCTGTAGTTGGACACGAGGATTTGAATCTTAAAGTTGTTCCTTCCTGCTTGAGTTTGTATGAACTTCAGCTCCGTTTGAATTCACACACACGTACAATTAATACAGGGCACGCTTCAACACTCACACACTTGGAATTAATTTACTGCATGCATGAACACATACACATGCCCCACGTTTATGCTTCAGCACACACACTGACACATTCATAACACTCAGTCCGCTGCTAAAGAACACACTCCATGCCAGCACACACAGGAAGATGAACACACACAGACAGTATACACACTCTATAATACACAGTGACATTACAGAAATATAACCACTGACATTACAGGGAAAAAAATACAGCAAGGCTTTATTTGCAGAGGAAAAGAAACATTGGCAGAGTCTTTATGTTTGGGTTTGTGTTTTTAGATTTCCATTTTTTTTCCCCCAACAACGTTCAACGTTTATCTTCCCGTCAGACAGCCATTTCTGACGTGGAACTGAAGCTGTTATGTCCATCTGTGCTCCCTCTAAACCCGACTCCTTTGAAAAAATTTAAGTTTCACTAAAAACACTAAAAATGAGTTTCTGGTTTCTGCTTCGATCCGCAGCATCGTTAATTTAGATCCAAAGTAATGTGTTAAAATGTCAAATTCACGCAAGAACACAAACTAACCAATCAAGGCAGCGGTAGACCAGCAACTCCTGTGTCCTTTGAGGTAAAATTTCAGTTTCTATCAAAAGGAGTCTGGTTGAAGAGAGCCATATAACATCAGTTCCCCGTCGGAAAAGTCTTTCAGTTCAGTTGAAAGACTGAAACACGTGATTTTTTTTTGCACCTTTCTCTTGTAATATTGTTTAAGCTCATGCGTCATCGGAATCATGTGACTGCAAACAAGATATTAAGCTCCATATGACACATCCCAACAAAGCTGTATCTTACAGTAATCTGCACTGTAATTGTGAAGCTCAGACCGTTTAAAACATGTGAACTGACATTCTCAACTGCAGCAAAACCTAGATGTTGTTTGTATGTTTTGCATGTCACTTACTGCCTCTTGCCTGAAAGGTGGATCTGGAACTTGTTGCTTTTGAAGTAACAGAAAACAAAAACTTGAAAACTATCTCATAGCTCATCCATATCCACTTCTATCAAGCTATCAAGCTACCTAACCTCATCTGGTTACATTATTAAACCTTTTAAACAATTCTGTTAATGGGTAGACTTTATCTTTGAACAAAAATACTTACAACGCATCCGTCACAGGACTAGCCTATGGTCCTAGCAGTCAGCAGCCACCAGACTTACTCACTGTACGACAGCCTTAGGGGTCATATTTACTGGGTTCACAAGAAGAGTCCATATGATGTTGTTGTATTCATGAGCTTCCAAGTGGAAATTTTCACACAATCGAATTCACAACTTCCTTATGTCGTAAACAGGAACTCTCAAGTTTAATTTCAATTTAATTTTTCAATTCAATCTTATTTGTA